TCTCGTTTCCCCCTATTTCCTCATAATATTCCAGAGTTACAACGCACAGGGCTGATACAGATCATGGCCTTCTAATTGTTTTATAAGGTCATAGGTGTGTGCGAAAGTTTGCGAATCAGTAATAATACATTTCATATCACCAAAATCGTCTGCATTTCAACTTTGCTGCTCCCCGTTGAGGATGCTTTTATTTAAGACACACTCTTACAGAGCACACCATCCAAACAAAACCCAAGAAAGGGAAACTGCTCCTTTGTCAATGACCGAAAATGCTAACGCAGTCGTTATTGTTAAAACAGCTGAATGTTCTCATTAACAGGCGCGGATCCAGGATTTCTTAGGGGGGGGGGGGCCCAAATTTGAAATTATGCGAGCCAAATATTGGTACGTTATGGTGACCAACAGTGACGTAATGGGGGGGGGGGGGCGAGTTCCCCCCTCCCAGGCTTTGACGTTTCATTATATTATTAGAGAAAGAAGACGATTTGTTGTACCGTTCTCTAAAATAATTCTCGTCTGAATTTAGTTTTTCTCCTCCCGCGCGAAGCGCGGAAAATTTTACGGTTTATTAAATTATTAGAGAAAGAAGACGATTCGTTGTACAGTTCTCGACTCTTAATCCTTGTCTAAATTCAGCCCCCCTCCCCCTCCTGCGCGAAGCGCGGAAGCTTTGACGTTTTATTAAACTATTAAAGAAAGAAGACGATTCGTTGTACCGTTCTCGAAAATAATTCTCGTCTGAATTTAGTTTTTCCCCTCCCGCGCGAAGCGCGGAAAATTTTACGACTTATTAAATTATTAGAGAAAGAATACGATTCGTTGTACAGTTTTCGACTCTTAATCCTCGTCTAAATTCAGTCCCCCCCTCCCCCTCCTGCGCGAAGCGCGGAAGCTTTGACGTTTTATTAAACTATTAAAGAAAGAAGACGATTCGTTGTACCGTTCTCGACCCTTTATCCTCGTCTGATTTCAGTTCCCCCCCTCCCGTGCGAAGCGCGGAAGCTTTTACGTTTCATTAAATCATTAGAGAAAGAAAACGATTCGTTGTACAGTTCTCGACTCTTAATCCTTGTCTAAATTCAGTTCCTCCCCCTCCCCCTCCTGCGCGAAGCGCGGAAGCTTTGACGTTTTATTAAACTATTAAAGAAAGAAGACGATTCGTTGTACCGTTCTCAAATCTTAATCCTCGTCTGATTTCAGTTCCCCCCTCCCGTGCGAAGCGCGGAAGCTTTTACGTTTCATTAAATCATTAGAGAAAGAAGACGATTCGTTTTACAGTTCTCGACTCTTAATCCTCGTCTGAATTCAGGTTCCCCCCGCCCGCGCGAGCCGCGGGAGCTTTTTTATCTTCATTTAATCATTAGAGAAGAAGACGATTCGTTGTACAGTTCTCGACTCTTAATCCTTGTCTAAATTCAGTTCTTCCCCCCTCCCCGTCCTGCGCGAAGCGCGGAAGCTTCTACGTTTCATTAAATCATTAGAGAAAGAAGACGATTTGTTGTACAGTTCTCGACTCTTAATCCTCATCGGAATTTAGTTCCCCCTCCATCCCGCGCGAAGCGCATAAGCTTTTACGTTTCATTAAATAATTAAAGATTCGTATTACCGTTCTCGCCTCTGAATCCTCGTCTCAATTCAGTCCCCCCCCCCCTCCTCCCCTCCTGCGCGAGGCTTTGACATTTTATTATTAGAGAAAGAAAACGATGCGTTGTACCTTTCTCTATACTCTTAATCCTTGTCTGAATTTCAAAGAGGTGGGGTCGAGGCGGCGGAGCCGGCCTTGGAAGCTCAGGGGTTTTACGACTTATTAAATTATTAGAGAAAGAATACGATTCGTTGTACAGTTTTCGACTCTTAATCCTCGTCTAAATTCAGTCCCCCCCTCCCCCTCCTGCGCGAAGCGCGTAAGCTTTGACGTTTTATTAAACTATTAAAGAAAGAAGACGATTCGTTGTACCGTTCTCGACCCTTTATCCTCGTCTGATTTCAGTTCCCCCCCTCCCGTGCGAAGCGCGGAAGCTTTTACGTTTCATTAAATCATTAGAGAAAGAAAACGATTCGTTGTACAGTTCTCGACTCTTAATCCTTGTCTAAATTCAGTTCCTCCCCCTCCCCCTCCTGCGCGAAGCGCGGAAGCTTTGACGTTTTATTAAACTATTAAAGAAAGAAGACGATTCGTTGTACCGTTCTCGAATCTTAATCCTCGTCTGATTTCAGTTCCCCCCTCCCGTGCGAAGCGCGGAAGCTTTTACGTTTCATTAAATCATTAGAGAAAGAAGACGATTCGTTTTACAGTTCTCGACTCTTAATCCTCGTCTGAATTCAGGTTCCCCCCGCCCGCGCGAGCCGCGGGAGCTTTTTTATCTTCATTTAATCATTAGAGAAGAAGACGATTCGTTGTACAGTTCTCGACTCTTAATCCTTGTCTAAATTCAGTTCTTCCCCCCTCCCCGTCCTGCGCGAAGCGCGGAAGCTTCTACGTTTCATTAAATCATTAGAGAAAGAAGACGATTTGTTGTACAGTTCTCGACTCTTAATCCTCATCGGAATTTAGTTCCCCCTCCATCCCGCGCGAAGCGCATAAGCTTTTACGTTTCATTAAATAATTAAAGATTCGTATTACCGTTCTCGCCTCTGAATCCTCGTCTCAATTCAGTCCCCCCCCCCCCTCCTCCCCTCCTGCGCGAGGCTTTGACATTTTATTATTAGAGAAAGAAAACGATGCGTTGTACCTTTCTCTATACTCTTAATCCTTGTCTGAATTTCAAAGACTCGAGGTGGGGTCGAGGCGGCGGAGCCGGCCTTGGAAGCTCAGGGGTTTTAGGCGTTTAATTAAGGTCAGATGAGCATATTTTTGTGTATACCTTATTATTTTGTGACATTGGCAAGTCACTGTTTGGCGTGGGGTCCAGGGGGCGGAGCCCAAAAAAATTAGGGGTTTTAGGCATTAAATTACCGTCAGATGATCATCTAAGGGCCCGCCGTAGGGCCCTAGATGGAATCCAGGGGACAAAGCCCCCGGAAGTTTAGGGGTTTTAGGCATTTAATCACGGTCAGATGAGCATATTTTGATGCCTCGAGGCTCTCGATCCCCGCCGTACCTTGGGCCCTGACATGTAGGAATCTCAAGAATCATATTTTTTGCCTGGTTGTAAATTTAGGAATTTTTTTATTTTCCAACAAACACATACAAACGTATAATTTACTAAAAAGTGAGGAAAAATTTCGGAAATTATGTCATTTCAGCATTATTTTTGTAATACACCGTTGTGGAATCAGAAATAAACCACGTTTGAATTTGATTTCCCCCAAGCCCCCCCCCCTCTATCAGTACGCCAGTATCTCCTCTTTCCCTTTCCTTCCTTTTCTCTTATTTTTTTTTGATTGGGGGGGGGGGGGGGGGGGGGTAACAGCCTGGGAGGCATGGCCCTTTCGGCCCCCTCGATCTCCTTCTTCCCCCTTTACTTTTCTTCTTCCTCTTCTTTCTTTCCCTTTTTCTCCTTTTTCCCTTTCTCCCTTCTTTTCCTTCTTCTTTTTTTTTTTTTTTTTTTTTTGCGGGGGGGGGGGGGGGGGGGCAAGGCCCGCTCGGCCCCCCCTGGATCCGCGCCTGCTCATTAAGATGCACATAATCAGAAGGCGGCGACTATGATTGGATCAAAGAAAGAACACGTTGAATGTCCATCCGTATTAAGTCCATGATACCATTGACCATGGCATCCTCCTCAGGAAACTTGAGCATTATGGAATACGTGATGTAGCTTTGTCTTGGTTCCAAGCAAAGCTATTTGTTTGACAGGACTCAATTTGTTGTGGTGGATGGTACTAATTCCCAACTTGCTTCTATTAAATATGGTGTACCTCAGGGTTCAGTTCTTGGTTCTTGGTTCTCTGTTGTTTCTGATCTATTTACATGATATATACACTCATCAACATTATTCACATACTCACTTTTTGCTGATGATACCAGCTTGCTGTTGGCTGATAAGAAGATTGAAGATTTATTACTGATTGCGAATCAAGAGATTCAAAAACTGTATGCATGGTATTGTTGTAATAAGTTATCGTTGAATGTTCAAAAGAGCAAATGTGTTATTTTTCGCTCAAAGGGTAAAAAGCAACTTTTACATCATTGTGGAAGGATTCCCTGTATTGTGGGTCATTAATCATTAGCCAATTTAATGAATAAGGAAGGCGCAAGACAAAAACATTAACAGTTGAATGCAAATCGATGGTTTGAATGTAATTAAGAAATATTCAAATCATCACATTTTTAAATGCATTAAGGAACACCATTCTCACACACATGACACCCGCAGGTGCTCACCTGAGCATACAACTTTGCATTTGGGAGCTATGTGTACTTTTAGTGTGCAGAAGAAGAAGATGAACATTTCACGTTTTTGTCCCTTAGCCCAGGTGACCAAATGAAACAATATCTTTGTTATAGCTTCCTCACTAAAGAGCTAGAGTTTAAGTTTTAAGACCTGAAACTGTCTACCTTTAGGCTAAGTATTATTCTGATGTCACTGGCAAAGCGATGCAAATGAGAGCTACTGCTTTAACAATATAATATGAAAGGTTGCTTTAAAACATAATGTGAACCTTTCTGCATTGACTTATTACTTCGTTGTGAGCAGAGGAGGCGTATCGGCTTCATATTACTTTAACTGGTAAGTGCCGATATCTATTTTTGAACAATTGATGATAAATATTGCATGATTCAATAGAAGTATTTTTATAAGATATATGTTTATTTTGATATTTTACATGTATGTACAATTAATAATGTTTGTATGACTATATTTATGTTTGTATACTCTTACTGTATTATGCAGGGCTTCCTTGAAAAGCAGGTCCGTTGGCCCTTAAGTGGAACTGATTAAAACTACCCTGTTGAAAGAAAATCATGAATAAATAAATAAATCTTATATAATCAGCATAAAATCCATACATTCTGTTTCTAACGAAACTGTAGCAATTAAAAGTTACCGCCTACTCACCAACAGCAGACAAAAAAGTTTCGTCAGCGATGAGCACAGTGATTACAAGAGCGGTCGAAAAAGCTCGATTGCTTCGAAAGAAACCCAGGCAAGAACTCCACGAAATGGACGAAGGCATGATTAATTTGTACAGTATGATTCAACTATCAAACTCCTAGATTTGTAGCGTTTGAAAGGAGCAGTTTGTGTGAACAACGTAACTCCACGAGTACGTAACCGAGTTGATCAGGACGCGGCACATAGCCAATCAATGAAATTGTATTTTCGTGCGGTACAACCAAGGAGTTTTAAGAGCTAGAGTCCCAACTGGCAACATTATCATGCCAAGCAGCTGCCGTTTTCTAAGGTTGCACAATAGAATCTACAGGTGTGCTGGACCTTTGATGCCCGAGTTTCGAAGCCGCCAATAACATTGGAAAGCTTGAGTAGTGATTTTGTTCACAAATGAATATCGTTCATATTTCACTTTTTTTTTTAACTAACAAGGGGAAAATCGAACAGATGATAAAATGTGAATACGAAAGCCTAATTGTGTCAAGAAATTTGCTTACATTGTATAAAAGCAGTTTTAATTTGTGAAAAAATAGTAAAATGTATAGTCCTAAAACCTGCAATTTGACACTTTTCCGGCTCACAAAATTTAAAAGTGAGTTTGTTCATGTACAGTTCTAGATGATGTTATATGTCAGATTAGCGCCCACACAGTCATGCCCAGTCGAGTAATTTTGATTAATGTTTCAGGAAATTTTGCTCCATTTCCTTTCGTTTGCCTCCTGTAAAGGTAAGCGCTGTGTATATTGCTTGTATTAGGGACTTTTAGATTTGCACAACGAAAACGTGGACTGCAATGTGACGTCCCTTTAAGGCACTGCCGGCACTGCCAGTGCCTTTAAAGGACGTCACATTGCCTTAAAAGGATGTCACATGTAGCAGTCCACGTTCTCGTCGTGCAAATCTAAAAGTCCCTATTACCAGACGAGCGGTAGCGAAAAGTAATTATCATTACAAAAGCACATTTCCTTTTGTCTACGTATCTGCAGGCACGTAGCCACGGGGGGGGGGGGGGGGGGGGGGGGGGGGGGGGGGGGGGGGGGGGGGCACGCACCCCCCAAAAATTCCAAGATCGGTTGAACTTTTTTAGACCCCTCCCCAGGACGTTGATTGATTACATTTATGTGCCCCCCCCCCCCCACAAACATCAAACTCTGGCTACGGCCCTGCGTACCTGCAAGGAAGACATACCTTTTCCTGGCGGCTTCGAAGATGGTTTAGGGAATGATCGAGCTAGATATGAGTCCATAACTTAAAATTCCTTGGTACAAGATAATAGCTGGAAACTCAACAATTTCCAGAAAGATATTAATTAATCGCAAATGGCTTTTAGCGAGGTCCAGTTAGCCAAGGTGGAAGAAGAAGAGCATATATATATATATATATATATGCAGAAAATCATCAAGGTTGCGGACCAATCACCATTAGGATGGCTTTACTTTACCGTTTCTGGATATGAAACCAATATCCTCGCTCAGGATTCGGACGACGAGAAAAGAATCTGGAAGGCGGTGGCCCTCCCCCCCCCCCCCCCCCCCCACTTCGGGAACGGAGGTATGCACATGCGTGTTCTCAAAATCTCCGGCTCGTAACAAAAGAAAAAGGTCTACCCGTATTGACTTTTAACACACGAGACATATGCTGAAAGGGGGGGGGGGGTGCTGAAAAGGCTCGTATAACAAAAGAAAAAGGGCTACCCCTATTGACTTTACACACCGGACTTATGCTGAAAGGGTGGAAGGGTGCCGGAAACACGCATATGCGTACCCTAAATAACACTGAGTGGGGGCCGGGGCGGGGGCCAGAGCCAAACGCAGGATTAATCAAGCTCCTCGAAGGAAAATAGCTTCCCGCAACCAGATAAGTCCTTATCCAACAGATCGTCAACCAGTATCTCAGCTCATTAAAGAGAAGGTTGAGTACTGGTAAAAAAAAGAAAATTATTTCTCACAGAATCAAACGAAACTTACACTGAATGTTCAAGATTACAAATAAATGACATGTGCCAAACAATTTTGGAAGAAAATGTATACTGGCTGAGTAATGAGCATAGAAAGACAAGAAATCAAGGTAGTACCAACCCCGACACCATGCGTGTTGTCCCATACATAGCTTTCTGTGTATGTGCTTGTTACTTTACCAAGACTCGGTCAAATTTATTATGATTTTGATGACTCCAGAACCTTGCAGTGCACACCAATACTTACATGCTTCATGATCAACTGTTTCTGATCCTTTCCACACCTTTTCTTTCACAATGCAATCGCATTACCAGTACTAAAGTTTATCTTTAAGGTCTACTGGTATTACATCAATTACATTCTCTGATACAAGTATCCTAAATGTATCAGGCATGAGTATCATTCCAGATTTTTAAGAGGTAATAAGATTGGACACCACTATTTCTCTTTCCATATCCAGTGTCATCTGAAATGCAATATATGACTGTTCTTTATTCCTTAGATTTGCTCATGAGCTACATACCACTAAACAAAATTAGGTATATATACAATTTGATACAGTTGCTCATTTCTTTATCCAAGGAATTCGTGACATTTGAGCTGAACACAATTTCTCTAGTTTCCCTTCTTTCTTGTAATCCCACCATCCCTGGCTTTCTTGTAATCTATTAATCAGAATCTGTCTTCAGTATACTTTTCCTTTGCCCCATTCTCATTCCTCATATTTTCTTGTCGACCCGTTTCATTTTTCAGGCTTAATCTTTCTTTTTTTCCAATCTCTCTGCCTCCTTCTCTCACTCATTCATTCATTATTCTCTCGCACCCCCTCTCTCGTTCTTGCTCTCAATTATTTTATCTGTTCAAGCAGCCTTCAGGAAAGCTCCTTGAAGTGTGGGAGCCCCGAATTTGCCAAAAAATTGATAGCAAAATTTCACTTCAATCGTATCACAATGAAAGAGGATGTCATTTAAGACACACTTCTGCAACCGCCCCCTCCCCCTAGATATATTGATTTTTAAAAAAATACATAATTTGGGTTTTCAGTTGTATGCAGAAAACCTAAATTTGTATTCTTACATCAATATTCGACTTCAAACACAATTGTTTTGAAAATCCTTGCAGAAATGTGTCTTAAATGACATCTCTTTCAAATTATGATACAATTTCGGTAAAACGTTGCCAAAATTTTAGAGGAGCTATAACATAATGGAGAAGAGAGTAAAGGAAGTGAATTTCAGTTGTATGCAGAAAATCTAAATTTGTATTTTTACATAAATATTGGACGTCAAACACATTCGTTTTGAAAATCCTTGCAGAAATGTGTCTTAAATGACACCCTCTTTCACATTATGATACAATTTAAGTGAAATGTTGCCAACATTTTAGAGGGGCTCTAACATAATGGTTCCACATACAATGAACATGCTTTCTCTTTATTTTTCTTCAAATATTTCTTCTTTTAACTCTCATTCTTTCTTCCCTCAATCTTTTTCTAGTCTCTCTTCTTCCTATTAATGTACTATATTTATCTCTCCACTTCCACACATTTTTTCCTTCATATTAAAAAATAATAATAATCATGAGAAAAATGACACAAATTATACCAATGTGACTGTATACTATTCATTTTTACTATCATAAAGTTGATCATTTCTAAAGCACATACACATTCACAATATATATATATGCAAAAATATGGAATAAATAGGCATATATCCATTGATTCCATTCCATTCTTTGCACATTGTGTTTGAGAATAGAAATCATTTGTATATCTCATCAACGTCATGAATTATACAATCATCTCAGTGTTGATGAAGAGCTTCAAGTCATTTGGATCCTATCTTGTAAACTTGTTTTGTGTGATTGTAAACTTGTTTTGTGTGATAATAAACAAATATACCATGCACTGAGAGGCTCTACTTGAAATTATGGATCGAGGTGGCAAGAAAAGCACTATTTTTTGAGGGGCGCAGTCCCGAAGTAAATAGTGCTATTTCTGTCGCCGAGGAATCCATAACTTCACTAGTGGCTTAAAAAAGTGCATGATATATTTGTTTTATATTTTTCAAACGAACCTTCATAAAAGTAATAATAATAATAATGTTTACTGTCACTGAAGTAGTGTTGAGTGCAGTGAGAGCAGCGCAGACCTCAACCGATAGCACGTTGATCTTGATCGATTGCATACATATGACGTCATCCATGGTATAGTGCACTATACCATAGATGACGCCACAGTTACATCATAGCAATGTTATGCTTTGTCACATGATGCTATGTTGACCAATCACTGAACAGGATTTCATTGATCAAAATATAATGTCTAATATAGCCAATACATGTAGATGGTAAAAATGATATTCAAGAGTAGACTATTAATGACACATAAAGCATTAGGTAAAATAGTATTTGGTTTATGTTCAGCACATACCACATTAAAGTGTAACCTTTCAATGTACATACACTTCAAAATAGCCTCAGAAAAAACAAATTTTACCTTGTATACAAAAGTTATCATTGCACAGTGCATTCAAGGAACAAATCCTACCAAGGTCCATTTACCTCATGTGGGTTAGGTGTGGCACATGTGGATCACAGTATACCAATCACTAAAACATACTTTCGAGGGGTCAGTGACACAAAGACGTAACTCCATTTTGATGAAAAGTGGTTTGTGTGTCACTGAGCACTTGGTCCTTAAGGAGTGGTAAGTCTATATTTCACTAGCCATTGACTTAAATGGGGTGTTGGGTGGAGTTAAGTCTTTGTGTTTCCTAGAAAGCCCACATTTTTCGGATCATTTTGATATCAAATACTAATTTTGGCAAAATATGGAGTTACTTCTTTGTGTCACTGAACCTTTGTTCTGTATGTTACAGGTCCTATGTCACTTTAATATATTCAAAATACGGGCTTCACATATTACTTTTATAAAGAGATGTTGCAAGTTTTGATATAATTACAAGTTTAAATTAAAATTGTCTGATGTTCCCTGGTGCTCACTCAACCTGTTCTCTATCTTGTATTTGGCTCCTAGTCTCTATCTATATCATTTATACATTGCAAATGCTTTGTTTTGTATCGTATCATTTTGTTTGTTTTCACTGTATACTTGAATTCTTTTTTATCGCGTGAAATAAATAAATAACTTAAAATATACTAAATGAGACTTGAGAGTAGAAATAATCCATGCACAAGTACCAGTATGGGTATGCAAAGAATAGAGTGCGCAAGAGTTACCGGTACAAGTCCATGTTGGGTTCAGTGCGCACATTTTACATGTGTGTAATCCTTCATTCTCTTCATACTCTTTAATTTTCAACCCACATAATGCCAGGTAAAGTTTCTTGAGGATGTTTTAATGCATTCTAGTTGTATACAAACTATTGTTTGGGCGATTGGTACACTTGAAATATCTTGCAAAAGGATGTTATGCTGTGGGTGAGATCTTGTAACTTGTAAAACAATTATCTGGGTGTGAGCTTGAAAGTAGAGCTACACTTGCTTGTAATAGCAGTCAAGATGTAAATCGTAATCAAGTAAAGTGTACTAACCCAGAGTATAGGGAGACAATTTAAATAAATAGTCTTTTCTTCCGGTATTACAATGAGCAATGGGCTCAAATTCAATACAAGATTTTGTAGAAAAATGTAGAGGTCTCGAGACTGTGAACAAGATTTTTAAATGCAAAATATTTTTAAATGGCATAAGAATTTCTCTAGCAGCATAGCATAAGTTTGAGGTGACATGATATACATATAAGTGTCCAATTTCCCCTCTTCAAAGATAGTAACAAACATTTGCTGTCCATGGCATATGCTAAATGAACCAGATCAGAATGAACGCTCTTGCAACAGTGAAATGTTGGAAACTTGTGAAAGTCTCATTTTGCAAAAATTGTCTATCATTTGCAATGCGCAACATTTTCAGATTGTGAACAGATTCTGGTTTCACAGTAATTTGACTAGGGGTTTGCCAAAATGGGTAAGCCCTTTTCTAGAGCTGTGAAAACTTGCAAATACTAGAAAGAAATTGGATCAATATTTTTAAAAACTCCATGTCTACCTAGTTCCTAATCTTGTGCAATTGCTTATTTCAGAATATAACACTCCCAGTGTACAGGTATTTAGGGAGACTTAAAGGGAACCATAACCTTCATAATAGGTTACTTTTATTGTAAAGTTTAAGAGATTTAAATAAAATCAGTGAAAATTTGAACAAAAATTGGGCAAGGAATAAGGAAGTTAAAGCTTTTTTAAATAACTTGTCACTAGTGGGCGATATCTAATTTGATGACATTATTTATGAGCAACTCTCCATGCCTTCTGACCATGACATTTCACAATTCTTTCATATTCTTCAGATTTATTTGTGTTCATGATTTGACTTCATAAAATGTCAAGCAGAATATCATTCTGCATACTATATCTTGTTTGCAGGGGAGTACAGTATCTCAATCACAAAAAAGAAGGAAAATTATGAAATTTAAAATACGGATATGAAACCACTGCTCTACCTATGAGGCATTGCATCTTATCGGTCGGTGATCCATTTGTGGATTTGGCAGCCACAAAGATAACATGATATATATTCCTAGCATTCACAACTTTGTCATTATTTGCCCAACTTCTATCAAACTTTCACCAACCCTTTTCCCTCTTTGACTGCTGTCACACAATTCAAGTTGTTTTAAAGGCCCACCGTCCTACTTGTAGCTACTTGCTCCCTCTATATAGAAAACTTCCCCAATCGGTGCCTGTTGGCCCCCCATGATCCTCTTTTTCTTATGTTAGTTGAGAGCTGAATTGATGAGATAGCCACCTGTCAGTGACCTCGCTGTGTGGTCTAATCCCTTCTGGCACAGTAGTATTATTGACGGTCTTTAAAAGGTGAGACTGTCTGTTATGAAGGTTTTCCTATTTCTTCTGCTGCTCAAACTCCTTCTCTACCATCCTCTTGTATTCATCCAGCCCTCCTTCCATGGCCTTGACCGTCCCTCCTCCGCATACCCATAATTCCTTGCACACCATTCGGATCAAACTCTCGTCGTGAGAAACCAGAATGACTCCACCCTGTCAGCATGGCAAATAAAAGATTATTTAGTTCTACAATAATACACCACATGCACAAATGAAAACAACATACTTGTAAATGTTTAGAGAACATTGTGTGCGGGCAAGCACTAAATCCAATGACCGGGGTAATAGTATATTTGTAAAGCGCTTAGAGACATTTGTATTAAGCGCTATATAAAAATTAAATATTATTATTATTATTGCTTAATACTATAATAAAGTACATACAAATTTACTCTCTTGTGGGACACTTGTATTTAATGGATTTTGGATCGTAAAAGGATTTAAAAAATGAATGTATGCATCTTTGAACTGACAACAAATTTGAAAGTATAGTGAACATTTCAATTTCCCATCACATACAATTTGATAGCAAACAAAAAATAATAGTGGAGTCTTGTACAGTGCTCAGGTCTGGCACATTGGCACTCCTGGTGCTCCTTTATTATTACCCTGGCTTTAGCATGAGCATAATTGCATTCTAATGTAATTCAATATCAGATACATGACGTTTGTCTGCATAGCAGAGATAAAATATACTTCTGTCTCCATTCATGTTGTTATTGAACAATTCTTGACCTTGTTTTGGATAAGCACATAAAATACACTTGAAGAAAACAGATGAACGTCTTCAATACCTTGTAGCTGGCTAAAGCTTTGCCTAGAGCCTCGACTGTCTCTATATCCAGATGATTGGTAGGTTCGTCAAGAATGAAGAAGTTAGGACTGAAATTGAAATTAAAAGAACTAATTTAAAAGGCAGTACAACAATGGATTTATCATTTCACTACCTCGGTCAGTCATTAGTTTTCTGAAGTGGTAAACCCTTGTATACCTTGTATATGTCTGTTAAAGTGACAATACTGTAGTTTGTTGATATACACAGCTTGGACATTAAAAAGTCTGGATTTCTAATTTTCTAATTAAAGTATACCTACAAGATCAAACAAGACAAATGCTACAGCATTTCCAATATGCCTCACCCTAAATTCAGTAAAGATCATGGCTTGAATTATTCTTGAAGTATCACGATGATAAAAAAAAAATCTTATAATTACAAGTCAACTGATCTTTATGACCTTTGACCTGACTATCCCAAAATCTGATTGCTGTCTCCCTACGTCGTTGCATATTAACTACAAATATCGCAATCTGTATTGCTGTGCAATGTATCCCCTGGCAGTGGCAGCGATTTTGTGTCATCTTTATGTTCGAAGGAGGGACAAAGATCCCCTCTCCCCTCCCTGAAACAAAAGGATGGTGTAGAGATCGCCACTAGTGGCTCAGACTATTGTCAAGACTAGGAGCAGCATCACCAAAACAATATGTGTGTAGATTAGAGTATAATGCATCTCTGCAGAAAATTTGAAAGAAATCTGTGAAGAAATGTGGCAGTTAGAGCGCACAAAAGACAGCCACCAAAATACAACCTTTGACCCTATAACAGACGGAACACAGGTGGCAGCATCACAAAAGACTAAAGATGTGTAGATTGTACTAAGACACACCTCCATACAACATTTGAAAGAAATCTGTCAAGAAATGTGGCAGTTAGAGCACATAAAAGACATATATGACCTTTGACCATATTAAAGATGGAACAATGAGGGCAGGCAGCATTGCCCAAAAGTGTAGATTGTACCAAGATACATTTCTAATTCTCTATACAAAATTTAAAAGAAATTTGTCATGAAATATGGCCTGCAGAGCGCATACTAGACACCCACCAAAATATGACCTTTCAACCATATAGAAGATGGAACACGTGCGTATAGTCTAATATACATCTTTCTGTGTACAGTGCTTGTAACTTTACGGAGACTGGTCCAAATTTCTTATCACTTTGATGATTCCAGAACCTTGCAGTACACGCCAATACTTATATGCTAGATGATCAACCTTTTCTGATCGATTCCACAACGTTTCTTGCACAATGCAATCACATGACCATAACTGGTCTTTATCTTTAAGTTCACAGCTCAAATAGCTTAGAATATTTATTGATATTGTGATAACAAGCTTTAAAAACTGTTTGATGTAATCTATACTGACACATCGACCTTTGACCTTTTTAAAATTTTGCTAAATTGATTCTCAGAATACCGATTTAAGAAAGATTTTAAGGGTATTTCATCTTACTGGAGTGAGATAAAAATGAATCTCAGAATACTGCCCCTTGCCTTAAAAAGGCAAATAGAGAGAGAGAGAGAAAGAGAGAGAGAGAGAGAGAGAGAGAGAGAGAGAGCGCTCAACTTACTTTCCAGCACACATGAGAGCAAAGACTACTCTACTCTTCTGACCTCCAGAGAGACTGGTCAATGGTCTAGTAGCAAGGTCACCCGTCACCCCAAAGGATCCTAACTGCTGCCTGTACTGCTCGGCTGTCTTTCCTATACACAAGAGCAAGGCAGAGAGAGAGAGAGAGAGAGGATGAGAGAGAGAGGATGAGAGGAAGGGAGAACAGAAGGAGAAGGGGAAGGAGTGAGATAAAGAGTGTATAAAAGATAGAGAAAGATACAAAGATGGAGGAAGAGAGGGAGAGAGAGATATACAGAGAGGGAGGGGGATAGATATACAGGAGAAGAGTGCAAAAAGGAAGGAGGGGGAAGGGAGAGAGAGAGAGAGAGAGCCAAAAAAGTGATTAATCATTGCATTGTTGTGTGAGGATATTTTTTTTAAATATTTATAATTCACATTAAAGCAGGACAAATTCAAACAAGAAAAGAGAAGCATGCTAGAAGAGACAAGATGCACAAGAACTTTCACTGACAAGATAACGGTTTGATTTAAAATCCCACTACCCCCTGATACCGTGTGATTTTACAAATGGCGAATGGACCTGTGTATGCATATTTATAAGCCCCATTTGAAGTCGGTGAATTCCACGTCAAAAAGTGTATTGCCATTATTCATCTCTCAGGCATCATAAACAACAGGTTAAGACCCTTACAAGCAAAATGCGAGGGAAAATAAATGAAGAAACTAGTAAAAAAATATGTAAACAGGAAGGCAAGAAGGCTGATAAATACCTGGGAACTTGGATGCCATGACTTCTATAGCATTCTTGTCAAAGTTCATATTGTCTATATGATGCTGACTGAAGTAGCCTAACCTCAGGTTTCTATGGCAGTGCCTGAGACCTGATACAGGGTTCAAATCACCTAACAAGATCTTCAGAAGAGTTGTCTTTCCAGAACCATTCTCACCAACCTGGAGAAGGGTACAGACAGAAAGAAAGGACAAACTTAATAAAGATTTATGCATCAAATTTGATTACTTTATAAAATGGTCTATTTGGATTTGGTTCTGTCACTTGTCACTCAAAGCGAATAACCTTTGGGAATGCTGATTAATATCTAAAGCAATCTTGTGCATTATCATTCAAATTATGGGGCATTATGTTGGGAATAATCCAACACCTTCAATTAGATAGGACACATTAATAAGCCATATCATAAACACCACAACATTTCCTTTGGTGCATAATAACTGCTCCTAATACACAGACTTCTATGTTGCATACAAGTCATATCTGTTTGTGACTCGTCATCCTAAGAATGGTCGACCTTCAGGGGCTTGGCAATGACATATTGGTAATTTATCCCAAGCAAAGGGATAAAGACATGGGGGTGTTTCACAAAGACTAAGATCGAATTTAAGTTGGACTTAACTATGGCAGGCCGTTCATGCCACTAGTTCCTCTAACCATTGGTTTCTCAAGGGACTTATAAATTGTGGTCACAAATCTTCAGAATTCACCTTTTTAAAAATTTCATTGTGGAAGGAAAATATATTATCTAAAGATCATAATTGAGAGACCAATGGTGAGAGCAACCATAAATGGCCTGCCATATTTAAGTCCAACTAAAAGTCGATCTTAGTCTTTGTGAAACACTCCCATGGACTTACGATACATATCCTAGACTCCATGCAAGCCGACAAGTCTACAGCATCAAAGATATGTGCGTCAGGACCATAGCTGAAGTTGACTTCATCTAACTGTAGGATGGGCGGGGAAAGCTTCGAGATCTCGGATGGAAACCTAGCAACAAGCAACAAATGAAATACTGATGTTAGCTTGAGCTCTGATAACATTAAAAAAAATGTCACATAATTACATGTAATAAATACTTGTAATAATATAATAATAATATTGGATATTTATATAGTGCACATATCCACCCTGCAAAGTGCTCAAGGCCCTCCAATATTACCCTGGCTCTGCTAGCCTATCGATTTCGGTGCTCACAGCATTCAAGGAATTCCTTCCTACCGGTACCCATTTAACACCTGGGTGGAGAGTGGCAAATGTAGATTAATGTCTTGCCAAAGGACATTAGTGCTGCGGCAGGACTTGAACCACTGACCCTGTTATCCACAGTCCGACGGCTTATCCACTAGACCACAACACCTCTATAGTGAGTGTTCGAAGGGAAGGAGACCACAGACTCACCTCCAAAAATAATTTGTGAACAGAAGAAAGCCAGTTTCTATTGTTATTCTACCATTACAAGAAGTTACTTTTGTTTTGTAAAAGGAATGCTAGTAAGCCATACTCTTCATGCATGGCACTATTCTCCATGTTTACCATTAATTTGCTGATTTCATTTTCTTCACACAAAGCTCCTGTCAACATTCTATGGATATTAAATTATCCACTGTATTTCCGACCAACACACAATCAACTTAAATTTCACCCACAGATATACTCTGTAAATCTTATTATCCCCACACCCATTGCATACTGATTATAGAACGCTAAGCATTACCTCGCCTGTATCTTGTGATACGTGTAAAACGCAACACGCATATGAAAATTATTGCATTTCAGCCTTTAAGCAGCTCAAGATGAGAATTTTATGATCTGCCAGTTTACACTAAGCAATGTTGCATTGACTTTATCCCAGAAATTTAGAGAACATTGTCTCAAGAATGCTGTTAATACTATCCCAAACTTTACCCTTATCTAAGTGAGGAAACCAATACTAGTTGGGAAAAAAAAATGATGCCTCCACGTCTGACGCAATATCTCTCAAGTGCAATATATCTCATCTGACATGACTGTTGACATGACTGTTGACCTGCCGTGACCCTTAATCCTCTTGTGATTGTTCATTCCTCATATCTAAAGCCTTGGTCACAAATGCCATTACGAACAGCTATGAACGCCATACGAACGATTTTCAGACAATGGCAATTCGGGAAGACAATGGAAAAACAGGGAGATTCATACGAAATTATCGTTCGTACGAACCTTTGTGACCGTAGCATAAGGTACATCATCAAAGCCATACAAATTTATGTACAGTGATTCTAATGGAAAGTTCATCGACCTTTTGACATTCAACCTTGACATGTAACTGCGATTTGAATTTGGTGATCCTACCTCAAAGCTACAATACTTAGAAATTTTTCCACTTACCTTAGTATAACTTCACTCTCTTTTTCAACTGGAATGAGTTTAGGCCTGAAGGGTCAAAAGGAGAATAATCAAATATGTTAATGTCCGATTGATTCATTAACAATTAAAGATGGTGTATAATAAAAAAAAGTAAATATATATTCATATTTTTACGAAAACATAGCTATTGATAATTTTGATACCTTACTCTTCCAGGATATGATAAATGAGTACAGGTCTACAAGGCCTTGTTATATACTATGAGCTCACAACACATCCACAATTTAACGCCACTGTCCAAAGCTATATGTACACAAAAGCTTTGATAAGTGACATGTCTTAAACAAATAATACAATGTCATCATTAATGCAATAAACTCCAAAGATGTGGTGTTCCTGTCAAAAATATAATGATGAATACTAATTTCAAAATTTCTCTAATTAAATCATGCATCCAAACAGATGAGAGATTTATGTACTTACAGTTTTTCTAGTTGTTTGATTTTGCTCTGTACAAGGGCAGCTCTGTTGGCATTGTACCTGAATCGATTTATAAAAGTCTGAAAGAAAAAGAAAATAGATAATTAATGAACAAGCACACACAAAATGTACTGTTTATCCTGTATCGGGTAATGGCCGTCCAAGAAACTCATTAAACAAATATCAAGAGCTGTGGGTCAAAGCTCTCAATATTTAGAAGTATTGAACAGTGTTCAATACGGTAACATTTTCATTCTTTTCATGACAAAATTAATGATCAGGATGAGTGAAAATAAGGAGATAAAAGTGTTCAAATCTTCTCAGTGCATACATGGACATGTATGTTGGATATAGCAACTCAATTTGCCCTACCGCAAGTACAATATTTGACAGTGGATGACGACCTTCCTCCCACACTGCAAAGGTCAGCACATGCACAGATACGATAAGACAAGGTTTCTTCCGGCTTAAATAGAGAATGTACAGCAGTGTAACTAATTCTATATCTTATTAAACTATTGTTCAGGTTCATGAACTCCCTCAATGATTTGATGAGATCTACACGTATGTAGGCACCATCATTATCTGTTACTTATAGTTCATTGGTAATATAATAAACTATCATTTCTATCAGACTTTCCAGTTCACGACCAATTGTATTTGTATGGAAAACGGAAGTGCCTTTGACAAATATACCAATTGATGGCGCTGACCTCTATGGCCAAAAAGTGTTGTTGCAGTAGCGAGAATTACAAGTTTGATGTGATTCCAAACCAAGCCCCCATTTCACAAAACTTGTCATCAGTGACAAATGACAGTTTTTGTTATAAGCTACTGAAATCCTTGCTTCTGATTGGTTACTAGCAGATTGGTCAGTGATTCTTTTGTCATTTGTCATTGAAAAAGGCTTTGTGAAAGGGGTCCCACATGATACATTTGATGTAAAGCTCTCACCTGTACATGCTCTCTGAACTGGACCTGAGCTTCATACTCCCTCTGTTGGTTCTTGTGTTTCTCTGTCTTAGTCTTGAAGAATTGTTCATAGTTTCCTCTGTAGGCATCTAACCTCCTTGAGTGCTGATGAATCATGTCTGTGGCAACTTCGTTCAAGAACTTCTTGTCGTGAGAGACTATGAGCAGTGTTGTAGGCCAATCCTACATAGGGCCAAAGAAGATCAAAATTACTTCATAGATTGTTATTTACAGTTAAACCTGTCTTAGCAACCACCTGTCTGTAACAACCACCTGTCTATAATGACCACTTAACCCCCCCCCCCCCCTGTGAATATTATCATGATCCTTGAGAAAATCAATTTTTGAATAAAGAGCATTAACTTGGCATCTGTAGTTTTTATACCAACTTCATAAAACATTACTGGGGTAAATATTGGTTCCTTATTCTTTTTTCATACAGCATACCACAATATTGAATTCCATTGAATTACTACTTACTTGAAGGTAATCTTCAAGCCAAAGAATGGCTTTGATATCCAACATGTTAGTAGGTTCATCAAGTAATAACAGATCTGGCTTTGAGAAGAGTGCTCTGGCCAATGCTATCCTCATTCTCCAACCACCAGAAAATTCTCTGCATAAAGAAGAAAAGAACAATGATGATTAAATCTGAATAGTTACATGTCACATGTATAAGAAGTGAGGTAGATCAGTCAGGAATCGTCTGTGTAGTCCTTCAAAGGCCTGGGTATTCTTTCTTGGAGAGATGTATTGGTTTGTCAAAACTATAACCACAACAGAATTATACAACAGAAAGAAAACCCCAGCCAGTCCTTATAAGGACTACACACATGGTGTAGCCCTTAATTGTCCCCTGACTTATTCTGAATGTTTGATTATCTAGCAGATAGAAACAATAAAGTCTTAGAATCATCAAAGTTTTAACGATTGGACTTCATCTTCCTGAAAATCACAAGTAATTCAAAAGTTGTGGACACAGATGTATTACGTGGGACTAAACAAGCATAAATTTGGTCCTAGTTTGTAGGCTATTTCCAGTCATATAGCACTTTAAGAGCAATCTTTTTCTTGGGACGTTGCTACTATACTATTCTTCTGGTTAAGAATGAAAACAAATTGCTCGCAAAGTATTTTGCTCATTAACCAAAACTCAACTGAAATGATGATTTTTAAATTTCCTAAGATGTCTTTGCTTGAAACTTGACACAGGTAACAGTCTGAATGCTTACAACAACAAAAAAGCAAAGTATTTTTCACCTTAACCAGAACCCAATCTTCTATCTAAATTTATATCGGAATCTGGCTGTTGTGCTTATCAACTAGTATGGACATTCCTATATGAAAAATAATTTAATTTGTTAATAAAGTTACAATTCACCCTCTTGAAGATGTTTGTCAAACTTGATGTTGGATTTCTGATCTATCCATTCAATCCCAACTATCATCTTTCAAATGATGAGGTTAAAAAGGCAGATTTAAGCATTTGCAAATAATGATACAATATGCAGAAATATAAGCTGACAAGAAACCCCACAGTTTGAGGCCATTTAAGTTAAATCATGACTGACTGAGTAAAAAGAAATGATCTACTTCGTTGTTTGATTCTATTGATCATGAATTATAATAAAACAAGATGAATCAGTCTCCATCTAAATGCCTCCGCCTATTTGTATGTTCATTGATCCTGTGGTCTTTAACATTCCTGCACCAGCTTCGGTGGCAGAGTCATAGAAATACATTTATAAGTAAATAAAAGAAATGTCTTACTTGGTTGTTTGAATCTGCATGCTGGGTGAGAAGCCTAAACCATTCAGGATCATGGCTGCCCTGTCAAAATCAAACAAAATTTAAGCATAAAACAGATTGATATACAATCAGCTTTACAACTGTATTTGCTTTGTACACATTTATATCTGGAAGGAAGAAATTCCTTGAATGCTTGAGTGCCTTATGGTAGCTTGGCTAAAGCTGGGGTTATAATATGATTGAGGCTACCCTGGGTAAACAAGACATACTGTTATCATTATTATATTATTATATACAGCACTGTTCTGCTGTTCAGCTTACAAAAAAAAATGATACATTTTAAGGTCAAATTTGAAATGACATAACATCAAATAAATGAACATGCTCTTTGGCATCTTGACACACAAAATGTTGACTCTGAAAAAACCTGGGACGTTCAAAAGGGTATTAGGGTATTAAAGTATTTTATTGCATAGTACATTGTCAACTGCAAGATGATGTGATACATCAAACTCTTTGACACTAATAATTATGATAAACTTGGTAATCATATAGAAGTATGAGGTTGACTAGAATTGCACTGAAATCATTGAAACTATGACCATAAAGCATGAGATATGTCCATTTATACACAAGTACATAAATTTACAGTATATTTGTACATATCTTAATATATCATAGTGACATCATGAAAAGTTTGTCAACAAACAAAATTTAGCATTATACAGAGAAAGCTAAATAATACTCACTTTGAAGGGGCTTTATCAGCTTCTATTTCCGCTAGTTTGGCATATACATCAGAGAGTTTGGCACCAAGAGTGGGGTCTCCCGGTCCAGAGCTTAAAAAGGAGTTAATAGAAAGCAGTCATTTCAAAATTTCTAATATTTGTAATTCTTTCAAACGTCTTGCTTATATGTTAGAAGGAAATCGCAAGCTTTACAGCAATGTCTCCAAGACTATCCTCCCCTCCCCCTCCTCATCTTCTTCCTCCTCCTCTCCCTCCTTCTCCCCTTTCCCCCTCCTCCTCCCCCTCCTCTCTCTCTCCCTCCCTCCCTCCCTCCCTCCCTCCCTCCCCCTCCCTCCCTCCTCCCCCCTCCCTCCCTCCCTCCCTCCCTCCCTCCCTCCCTCCCTCCCTCCCTCCCTCCCTCCTCCTCCTCCTCCTCCTCCTCCTCCTCCTCCTCCATATTTTCATCCATCATTATCATCATCATCTCCATCACTATGATCATTATAATTTAATTTTACCTGTCTTGGATTTTCACATGTAGTTCCTTTTCCTCTTTCAGTAACCTTGTCCTGAGTTCATCGCACTCTAAGACACTATCTAAAGCCAATGTGTCATCTCCTATGACCTCTTGCTCCACGTGGAGGATGGAGATGTGGGATTGAAACTGAAGCTCTCGGCTGTCAAAATTGGAGGATAAAAACAGGATCGAGATCGGGAAGGCCCATTCAAAATATCACCGTGTTTAGCCTTGATAGGTAATCTTGAGTTCTTGACTTCAGGATAAAATGAAACTTACAATAACTACTCAACAGTCAACAACACAAATATCTGACAAATAATTTTGAGAGAAAATGTATAATCGCTGAGTAGTGAGCAAATAATGATAGAAAATCAAGCTAGTAATCTAATCACCATGTAAATATCACCTGCTCTTATGGACAGTACAATGAATGTGAATTCTGGCAAGCTATCGTTAGTTTGTATTAGTGCTGTAACATCACGGATATCTCCAATTCCGTTTAACCGCCTGTCAAAACCGGACGGTTTTCGGTTAAACGATTTATTTAAAAAAAAAAAAAAAAAAAAAAAAAAAAAAAAAAAAAAAAAAAAAAAAAAAAAAAAAAAATCGTTTTTTTTTTTTTTTTTTTTTTTTTTTTTTTTTGGCCGTGTGAAAAAGCAGGAAGGTGATTTAACTGAAGGCGCCGATTTGGGCTTGTGAACTAGTCACAAATAATAGTAACAATGTCGTTTTAGAATAATGTGTAAGATCATTAAAGTAAATTAAAAACAGTAGAGGACCTAGGATAGAACCTTGTGGTACACCATGTGTTAAACTTGGATGAATATATATTGAGATCTATTACAAAGATTACTTTCAAACCAAGATGACAGACAAATTGGAGTGTTGTTCTAGTTTCCAAGTGGTAAGTCATCACACCGATTACTGAGCTGGGAGACATTGCCAGGCATAGTGCCAGGTGGAGGGGCATAAATCGAAACTTTAAAAAAAAAAAAAAAAAAAAAAAAAAAATATTAAAAAAAAAAAAAAAAATATTAAAAAAAAAAAAAAAACGGGAAAACGAAACCGTCCAATTGAAAACGGAATCCGCCATGGGCGGTCGGATACCGGACGGTTAAACGTTTGACTACAGCACTAGTTTGTATATCTTTCTGGCCCAAACACCCCTCCTACTGTATGATAAACCATTCACATAATTTCTCTCAAAATGCAATATCAGTTCTAGAACTCTGCATAAACAAAAACTGTAACCATGCATGCATACATCTTTTCAAGAACCTTGTCATGTTTCTTTATTGAAAGATATATTTCTGGAAACCTTCTTTTTTGTAAGTATTCATCTGAATCATTCTAATTTCTTACAAACACTGATTCATTGCCCCATGTAAGCATATCCATGTTTGTACTTTTCTGCAAGGCTAAATTTGGCAGTATCTCTGTAGGTCAGAACAATATAGTAAGACAAAAATCATAGGATTCCCATTCTACTTTAATCAAAGAATGAGGTCTGTAAATTCTCTATGTACAATAGTTTTAAATCCAAGCTTTCAACATCAAAACTATCTTTAAAAATATTTAAATAAATAACTGAGAGGTTTTGAGATACTGTTGAACAAAAAGAAACAAACAAGCTCTCTCTTCCAGCAATGTGTGCTCTATAAAAATACATTTCTATTATAGCAATATATATTGTTAAGTCTTCTCACCTGGCAATCATTTTCAGAAGGGTACTTTTACCAGCTCCATTTCGTCCTACTAGTCCATATCGTCTCCCAAAAGCTAAAGTGAAACTAGCTTCTTTGAGAAGTACTCTGTTCAAAATCAAATTTCATATATATAATAAAATATCTTCACATTTCATAATGTTCGCTTCCATTCCAACTTTCTTCATGATATCATTGGATGAGCATAGTAAATGAATGAATCATCAACTTGCAAGAAGATTAATGATTTTAGAATGGAACATCATTTTAGATAAAGTGAATGAAAAGGAAATTATCAGATAGATTAGGATTTTATTCTTGACATTTGAGGCTTGAGAACAATGGGCACATGCACAAAATCACCCCTCATACTCACATACTTTTATTTTAAAATGAAAAGATCCCGCTCGCTCCTAACATTTTAGAATAATCACTTCCAAAGTGATGACGTGGTTTCATGAGGAGCTTTTGTTTCCACTCCTTAAAAAACAAACCTGTGTGTATCATGAAATGCATTGCTGACAATTTTGAATTTTCTCTCAGTTGTTCATTTTTTTAATTTTTATGTGCTGATGCACATATAAGCAGTTTTATATCCCACATACTAAGAATCTTGCCCCACGATTGGTCAAAAGTAAATCTTTGAGTGTTAGTATGCGAACTTTGGTCACGCACGAACTATGGTCACAACACCATAACGCCTACGGTGTACGTTAATTGATGACTTGTTGCTCTAAAATGACGGAAGAAGTGAAATGTTTCCGATGTGGAATATAAAGCAAATATTCACCTTTTGGTTTCAGGCGATGGCAAACGATCACTTCCTCGGTGATCTGAATGTATACGCTATCTTTCCTCAGCTTCGCTTTGGAAAGATAGCTACATCCAGATCGCCTCAGAAGTGATAGTTTTTCCCATCACCTTCACCAACGGTAATTATTTGCTTATTATCAAAAGACTCATTTGCCATGATGGCAAGGGGAAACTATTTGTTTTCTCCCCAAAACATATCTGCAATGTATCTTAACACACAAACATGTATTAAAAGAGAGCGAGTAGCAAAATGTTCTGATTGCGTACAAAATCATCCTTCTTAACTTCTGACTTATTATATTATATAGTGAGAACTTACTTTTCACCAAAAGCTACATCAAAGTTCTCTATCCTAACGTCTGAACCCTTAGCTGATCCAGCTGCTTCTGCTTTGACATCTTTCCTGCTAACGGCTTGACTGGCTGAGGCACTCACCACACTGATTACATAATCAAATCAAAGCAAATGTACAGTAATTATGACTGCAATGATGATCATCATAAATAAACATTGATAACAACAACTTCTGCTTTGAAATCTTTCCTGCTATAAACGGCTTGACTGGCTGAGGCACTCACCACACTGATTACATAATAAAATCAAATCAAATGTAAGACAATGATCATCATCATATATAAATAATTCAACATTGATAATGATAACATACATAAAGTTGCTTCTAATGATATCAAAAACATTTTTTTACAAAGAATATTAGCAAGGAGACATGTTTACAGAAGACCTTTCCAATTTAATATACATGTACATATTGAAAATTAACTAACAAATGCATGAGGCTCGAATATGCAAGTGATAACAATCATATGGAACTCCTTTGAAATCAATCTAACTACGATTGTTAGTTTTTATGTACCACAGTATTAAAGAATTTTTATTTAATCCTGATGCAAATTAAGACCTTTACATTGATCTTTTTTCTCTGTTAGAAATAAATAGGAAATGTCATGGATGTTTTTTTTCTTCTGACATTCCAAGCCAAATTGATCAACAGTTCAAATAATTTTATATGTTAAATAGTACCTTAAATGATTTTTAAAAAATATTTCCTAAGATGTCTTTTTTTGATACTAGATGTCAGATTGAGCACTGAGGCTTGTATTCTTAAATGGCAGAGTAATGTTATTGTGGTTTAACTTGAATCTTAGTAAACAAGACCATGAGACACGCTCTTTATTCTGTAAAATTACTGTAATTCTGTAACAAACTGAAGAAATGAATTAAATCTAGCCATGATAAATATGAGAACTGGATTTCAAAACGAAAAGATTTTGTGTCAGGATGGAGAGATTGACACCTGGTGCTCCATAAATGAGTGATCTAACTCTACCCATTTAGTGAGGGTTAAAAACCTGGACAAAGTTAGTATGTTTTCTTATGAATAACAGTTTCCATGCTTACCCATTTCGTTTAGCTGCTTGCTCAGGCTGTAACAATTTCCTCTCTTGCTTGGCTTTCAGCTTAGCTTCGGCTTTCTCTAATTTCTTCTTGTTCACTTGCTGTAAAACGTTTTTTAAGACAAAGATCAATTAGAGTTAAAAACTAAATTAGTCATACCCTCACTAAGTTTTGCAATTTCATAAGTATGTGAAAAATTGATATGTCCCAAATTATGTTTCTTGATTATGTGACATACAGTCATACCTGCCAACATTTGAAAATGAGAATTAAGAAGTTTTAGCATGGTATGTCTTTGAAAATAAGAAATCTGTACCCTTAACAGGCGTTCGCACCTGCAGCGGCAGTGTAACTGGCAATACGCAGTAAATCTGTGCAAAAAAAACAAAAACAAATTCGCTGCTCAATCATGCAGCCCTTCAACATACGCAATATGTGAACTCTCACATCGCGGCATATGATAAAACAAGCTTAATTTGGCTCAAGCAAAACCAAAAAAAAAACACACACACACACACACACACAAAAAAAAATTTTTGGGAAAAAACAGGATTTTGGCGTCCTAAAAATCCAGATAAACAGAATATTTTGGATAATTCGGAAGGGTTGGCAGGTATGTACAGTGTATGAAAGCTTACAGCAAATATTCAACTACAGCCCTACTTCAACCAGTCCACCTTTCATTCTCGAATTACAAACAACACAAAAAAACACCAAATTTACAAGGGGTATGAATAATTTAGTTGTTAACTTTATCTTTTCTTTTGGGGCTTTGGTCATCTAATGAAACATGTCACAGATCGTTTTGGTTGACTTTTATCACACAACATGTACAATGTCCATTGTATAAACAATTTAGTTGTTAACTTTATCTCTTCTTTTGGGGCTTTGGTCATCTAATGAAACATGTAACAGATTGTTTTGGTTGACTTTTATCACACAACATGTACAATGTCCATGGAACATTTCCAAGAAATTATTTACTTAAAAACTTAAAATAACCACCAGGGGTGTGTAATGTGATTAAAGTTCACTAAATGTCAATTTCATAGGAACAACTATTCTACTTACTGAAACATTTTTATTAGTAGCCATCCATATTGACCTGTCATCATTAGTGGAGTCTGTGAACAAATGAAAGGTTAGATTTGAAGATAATCCAAGAGATTGCAGGTAATGATTGCTTGCCTTAGTCTGTAGTCAATTGATAAAAAAACAGCCATTTTGAAAATTCTGTTGGCATTTTTGGAAAGAGAATGCATGAACTATTAAAGAATGTGAAAATTATTCTAAAGTGGGTCTTAAAGATACTATGTCCCTTTTGCAGCCAATCTCAAATTCTGTAGAACTTTGCAGGAATTATGAATATGTCATGTATGTCCTATCTGTGTAATTTAAACGTTAGCACTGTCCTACATGTAATATTCAAATTATGCAAGGAAACCGTTTACTTGCTAGACTTCACTGTCAGACACTATTGAGTGACTGACTGGCTTTTCCATCTTTGGTAATTACAGTATAACATGAGCTGTAAAGGGTACATGAGCATTTGTCTACATCAATAACTCACTTCTTGTAATGGCCAAAATTAAAGTAATTGAATCTTTGCGCAGCATAAAACACACAACCATTCGGTACAATGGTCTTAAAATCAGACTATTACTTACTGGCTCTATAGCTCCTAATTCGATTCGACAACTAATAGTTGTTATTTTCCCACTTAAAGACATTTTGAAGCCCCCCCTTTTTTAGGGAAGTTCTAAATTAGTATTATCTTTCAAATGCCGTTGGAATTTAACCTTTTCATTTTTTGGCCTGCAAATGGGACATAGTACCTTTAAGTTACATTTCAGGCATTTAAATAATGGCGATTTTGGTCTATTTAATGATTTAGGAATAACTATTTAAAAAAAAATAGATTGAAATGCACTAGGGATATGAGTTTGCAGAACTTTGTAATATATTATACTATAAATCAATAATAGTCATTGATACGCATTTTAATCAGAGTCATACATTTCTCATACTCATCATAAAGGCTGTATTAAATATAATTTGTAAGCGTATATTAGCTATAATAACATAGATTTTTTGCATTATTTCTTCATTAAAATCATCTCCAATATTATTTTTATATTAAGATAAGGAACAAATACTTCAATTGTTGTTTAGGGTATTATATCAACTAAGAAAACTGATAACGTTTGAAGGAAATTTCATTATTTCAATTTTAAATCTTTTGTCATCTCTATCCATATCAGTAATAATAATGATACCAATCATGCTTTTAATTCATGCCATTTATGATTTAATTTATTATGTCTAGAGATTCTCACTTCACTTCATTTTTGAATTGGTTCCCTATTTGTTCAAATTATTTCTTCACATAGAGTAAGTCGTTATATATTCAACATTAACACCTTTGAACCTTTATTTGCGACCACATGTGCAGTCTACAAAAAAAAATCTTCTAAAACTAGCTTAAAACTAATTCAATTTATTGAGTTATTTTAATATAAAGATAATTACAATACTCTGGGTTTACATAGCTCTTAATGAATCAACGATGTCTCTCAAGTAGACTTGATTTCTTCAAGTCTCCTTAAGATTAAGATGAGGCACTTTACAGACCTATAATTTTAAAATATTTCAAATTCACCAACCATCTTGTTTTCCTTGTTCGCTCAGCTGAACTGGGGCATCCAATAAGATATCATTCTTTTGGCTCTTTCCTCCACTCCTAGAAAACAGATATAATGAAATGATTTTAAAGATAAGGTTGAGTTCTGGTTATGCGATTGCATTGTGAAAGAAAAGGTGTGGAATGGATCAGAAAAAGTGATCATGTAGCATGTAAGTATTGGTGTGTACTGCGAGGTTCTGGAGTCATCAAAATGAGAAGAAATTTGGCCCAGTCTTGGTAAAGTTACAAGCACTGTACACAGAAAGATATATATGGTACTACACAAGCATGATGCATAAAAATCAGGCCTCATTATTAAGCTGTTACTTGTCATATTTAGAAAATAAAGGCATTTTAACAGCCATGCTTTTCAGGGAACATTTTTTCTCTGATGTTCTTCCACTCTTGCATAATAACAATGATAACATTCACAAATTATTTTTCTCTTCTCCCTAGAACACAAACTTTTCTTTAAGGTTGTTGTGAGATCTGGGAAACCAGCAATATTTACATTTTCATATAACCAAATACCACCTGGTTTTTAACTACAGTTAAAGCTAATGTTGAGCTCTGGTATGGGAATCGTATTTTGATTAAAAAACTGCTTTGATTTATTCTGGATTGTTTATCCTGCAGTAGATTTGTTGTTGGAACCAGTGAAATAAACGCACAAAAAACTTACTGGGCATCATCTTCAAGAAAAACCACAACTCCCATTTGCACATACAGTAGTGACCTGTGTTAAGCGCATGGTGTCAGGCCTACTTACCAGGATTTCTTTTTCTCCCTATGCTCATTACTCAGCCAGTATACATTTTCAACCAAAATTGTTTGGCAAATGACATTTATTTGTAATCTAGAACATTCAGTGTAGCTCGTTGGATTATATGAAAATTCATTTTCTATATTTACCAGAACTCAAGTTTTTCTTTAGAAGGAATTGAAAGAACCAAGATTTTTCATCATCACTACCGTAATTCAGTTCTTCTGGAATTGCAACACAGTATTGCAGTTAAAGAAAATATCAATGCTTTCCATTTGAAAGAGAAAATCCAACACATATAGCCTTAAAAAATATCTTCCCACAAAAAGAATTCATAACTCACAACTTGAGAGTTTTGTAGAGTTTCTTGCAAATGTGCCTAATGCCATCTTCATCCCTGTCAAAATCCACTTCATGAAGCACGCCCCCTATGGCCTCGTAGACATCATCCACGTCATCAAAGTCTTCTCCTCCATCCAGCACTCCTGGAAAGCAATGGAACATGTTACAGGTTAGATGCTGCTTATAAGTATCGGCTTGCATGTATACAATGGCCTGAATTCACAAAGGAGGTTCAACTTAACACGTGGTTTAAAAATTAGCGCAAAATAAGCGTACCTTGCCTTGCAGGCGTTAACAATGGAACTCTGACTGTGTTGTGCTTATTTTGCGCTACTTTTAGACCTTGGGGTATATGTATATGAAGATTTAAAGTAGGCCTGTTTTGAAAGCCCATTTTTGGTAGTCGTCTACACAGTGATTTTTTGGGACGATTAATCCATTAGTCAGTAATACAGGTGTAGGCTGATGGGCGGCGCTGGGTGAGCCCGCCCAGCACGGGGGATTTCTGCCCACCACTCCTGATGAAAAACACTGCTTTAAACGTAACTATTTGTGAAGAAAAGAACTCTTACAATCATATTTTCGTCTTTAATCGTGTTTTATCTATCCCCCTATCAACCTATCAATCTATCCCCCCGGTGGAATACCGTCTGTGTATGGGGAATGTCAACAAATGTCAGTTTTATTATAGAAATGACCCATATCAGACGGTAGTTCACGATCTACTTTTAAGGGTTGTCTGTCTTCCCTAGGCCTAGGATTTATCGCTCCTCACGAGAAAGTCTATGTACAAAGTCAATTCGAAATGCATCAAGAAAATCATCACAGAATTTGTTTTTCGCATCGCCAACGCGCGGATCGGTAATAAGCAGGGCTGTCAACTTTGGGGAAGTGCTTCGAGGGAGGTCGTATGCAAATTTTTGTTTTGCTCAACGGCAGTGGCGTACGCAGGATTTTTTCAAGGGGGTTGTTTTTTGTTGGCGGGAGGTTTTTTCATAAACCAGGAGATTTTACATCGAAGCAGGAGAGCCGAAGGAAAGGCATGCTGGCGGGAGTCTCCCGCTAAGAGCTATTGGGACGTCGGGAGAATGAGCGTGGTGGCGTGAGACTCCCTCCAAATGCGGGAGGGTCGACAGCCCTGAATAAGAAACGTCTGCACAAATGCAGACGATCCTCATTTCTGCGGAGGTGTCTGGTCGGCTGTCTGCGATTACGTAGACGATTCTCGTTTATGCAGACGATCCTTATTCATGGACCAGCGCCCATATTGTTTATCATGCGTTTTATTGCTTCCTCGTAGCTAAAACAAAACAGTGTTACTAGATCTATGTGTTATCAGTGAACACGCATTACAATCTGTATTCACATTCAACACACACACATGCACACGTCACACCACAATGTTACAGCAGTAATGCCATTGCCATGCAATGGGCTATGGCAAATGCAATGAATGAATGAATTGGTGGAGAATGGCCCACTACATGTGACGAAATAAAGCACTTATATCACTTATCAGAATGAGCGGAGCGAATGGTGATTTCCTATTTCACGATAATGCCAACAGAATGTTAAACTAAAGCGAAACGGGCATATATTTACCAGATACATAATCCAGAAGTTCCAGATCAATGGCAGGAAACTCTGACTCGACGATCTTTCTGTAGGCTGCCATGTTGGAGTTTGCCGGTCGATGCAGGTAGTCTTATTCAAGTACTGTACATGCAGCTCAGGGGCCCATTTCTCGAAATCATCATTAGCGGAGGGCCAAAGTCAGAAATGAGGGTTTTGGTTAGTCTGCAGGCACAGACCCTAATTTGACACTTTATCAAAAAAATCATTTTGCCTTGAGAGAAGTCTAGCCCAGCTACCTACTGGTTGTGTCCTGTGTCAGGAGCAGCTACAGTACATGGCCTATGGTAGTCTTATAGTGCAGACTCACTTTTACGACTGACTAGGGTTTGTGCTTGCAGACTAGGTTTTGGTTGCCATTACTTCACGAAATAAGGAAAAATTGTTTAGTTTATGTGAAGATTTTGTCATAATTATACACAATATTTCAAAGTTTATAAAATATAATTTGTAGCGGTCACCCCTAAATCAGAGGGGGCATCCAAAAAAAGTGGCCGGCCTTTTGACGATAAATATTATTTTGTAAAAACCCTGAATTTGATGTCATATTTTATTAAATATCTATATTTTGATACCAATTTCAATGGATTTGAATAAAAATACACTATTTTCCATCAAAATTGAAGGTGTATTTTTCGTAACTTTCCGGAATATAAGCCCAATATGCAAGGCTCCAATTAAGTTTTTGCAACTCTCGTTTCGTATTATGACTAGCGACCCTCATTTCTTATTATGAATAATGACCCTTATGAATAGTGACCGTCATTTTGCATTATAAATAGCGACCCTCATTTCGTATTATGAATAGCGACTCTCGTTTCGTATTATGACTAGCGACCCTCATTTCTTAATATTATGAATAGCGACCCTCATTTCGTATTATGAATAGCAACCCTCTAGTCCTATTATGAATAGCGACCCTCATTTCTTTTTTATGAATAACGACCCTCATTTCGTATTATGAATACGTCCCTCTAGTCCTATTATGATTAGCGACCCTCATTTCTTTTTTATGAATAACGACCCTTATTTCGTATTATGAATACCTACCCTCTTCTTTGATTATGAATACCTACCCTCTTCTTTGATTATGAATAGCTATCCTTATGAATAATGACCCTTATGAATAATGACCCTTTTCTCCAATTATGAAAAGCGGACCTTATGAATAGCGGTCCTTATGAATAGCGGACCTTATGAATAGTGAACCTTATGAATAGCGGTCCTTATGAATAGCGACATTGACCCGGTTCCCTAAAGTGCCCCCTTTATCCTCAGATGTCCTTTTCCCTTCTGATAATTTTTAATGGTAGGAATTCATGGAAGGATAGCATCTATATTCTTTAGAACAGCTCTCAAAATACTCACAATTTCCATGTTTCCTGTCATGACTGTGTTTATAAAAGAATAATAAATACATAAAATGACAATTTCATCTAAGATCCTGAAAATGAGGGATTTTAGATCTAGAAATCATAAGGGGAAAAAAGTGTGGCGAGTTGTCCGAAACCCCCCCCCCCTTCATTTTTAATGTATATGTTTTGTAGGAAAACCTCCGCCCTTATTGGGTGACGTAAAAAAGGTGACCTTACCCCCCCCCCCCCCCCCCCCCCCCCTCCCCAACGAAACGTAATGTTGATCGGTCAAATTTTCAAGTTTCGGGACACAAAAAAAAAATATATGTTGTCTTACCTCCCTCAGCATCTATATAGGTCAATATAGTAATTAGTACTGCAAATGCAGAAAGTTCAAAGACAAAAGATAAGGAGTGTTAGGTGCAATATTGGTATATAGTCATAGACTTCCCCTTTATATCCGAATTAGGCAAAAGAGAAATTTATTTATTCATTCATGAAAAAAAAAATGTATGCATAGGCTGACGAAAGACTAGTTCAACAGTGTTCTATAATATTAATACGGTCATCTTGTTGAAGTTGTTGTTCACAATGGCGGCCACCGGAGCTGAAACTTGCGAAGGCGGATACATGCAGATTATAGCTCGGAAAGTTGGGACTGACGAGGCTGCTCTGCGTTTTCTCATTTCAATGTTTGCAGGTAATGCTATGTAAATGCTCTAGATCTAATTGATTAATTTTGAAAACTATGTAACTCAAAACACAAGTCAAGTCAGTGAAGACTGCACTGAGCTGAGCATGCTGAGCTGAGCTGAGTCTGAAGTAAAGTGAAGTCAGCAGTCAACGGCCGCGGCCAGCCACAGCAGCGCTAGTCGCAAGGCCAAGATCAGCCAAATGAATCGTCCACGCGATCCTTTTAAGTTTAATGGTTAATTTAGATATCTTGGAACAGATTTTCATGTTAAAATTACAATAAAGTGAAACAACAAATGATTTCTTGGATCAAGCAAAATATTATATGACTGTTTTCGCAGACGGTTTTTTTTTCATCGGTGCTCTGCAGGTTTCGTATTCCTGATTTGCGCGCTGGCGTTGCGAAAACAGATTCTGCGTAATAAAATACCCCCAGTTCACTGTATAATTTTATCGGTTGTCCGTCTTCCCAAGGATTCATCGCTCATATTTACGTGAAAGTCTCTGTACAGAGTCAATATGAAATACTGGCAATCTCTATTTTGGAAAGAAGTTTTTGAGGGCATGTCATTGTTACAGAATGTTAGTTATTAAAAGCATGAGAAGTTTAATTTGAAGCTTAATAAAATTTGTTTTAGTTTTTCAAGTAATGAAGGGCAGATATAGATCTATAATGAATATTATAAAACATATCAAACAAATTTCGATGAACCTTTAAAGAGAAGGTTGAGTTCTGGGAAGAGGTGAAAAATAATTTGTGAGCGTTATCATTTTTATTATGGCAAGTGTGGAAGAACATCAGATAAGGCATGTTCCCTGAAAAGCATGGCTCTTCAAATGCCTTCATATTCTAAATATGTCATGTAACATCGTAAAACTCGGGGTAGGATTTTTACGCCACGTGTTTGTGTAGTCCCATATCCATCTTTCTGTGTACAGTGTTTGTAACTTTACAAGACTTGGCCAAATTTCTTATCATTTTGATGATTCCAGAACCTTGCAATACATACAAATTCTTATATGCTAGATGATCAACCTTTTCTGGTCGATTCCACACCGTTTCTTTCACAATGCAATCGCATGACCAGAACTCAACTTCATCTTTAATACCTTTCCATATTAAAACACTTACTTATTCATGAAAAAAAGGACGTACATGTCGTGATGTACCGTAGACCTAGATACATTTATAACATTATTTTTGGAGAAAAAATTGTTTGTCTCTAATATTTTTAAGTTCAAAGTGTGAACGATATTTGAATTACAATTTACCATCTGTATATTGATACTAAAATATAGCGTTATGATATATCGTTTAACACCATTCTGAAATACTTTCAGTATAAGATTTTAAATAGAATTTAGTTTTTAAATAAACAACTAGACTCTATTAAGGATGAAAGTTGTAGACAATGAAAAATGTTCATTTTGTTAAAAAGGAAGAGAAGTATATAGTACATTTCTATTATGAATGTGAGATTAGTAGAAAGATCTGGAATGAAACCTCAAACTGGATTTTAATGAAAGAACTCAAGTTAGAATTTTGTTGACTTAACAAAATATAATTTTGGCTTTGAAGATTAGAGAAACGATGCCCTAAATTGCATTTTTATATTAATTAAACAACAGCTATTTATTTGTAAATTAAATAGTACTGTTCTGCTCTTTGATATGTTGAAAAAGAATGTTGTACAATATTATAAAGATGAGAAATGTATTGCATGTCTATCTGGAATGGAAAGACATTTTGCTGTAAAGTCGACTAAAAAAATCAGCCAATTTTTTTCTTTTTGTCGTGATTTTTTTGACGAAAATTTTCAAGTTTTGGGCTATCAAATGCTCAAAAATACTCATAGCTGGGATTATTTTGTCATTTGGAGTTGTTGTAGACCATGTTTGATGATATTTAGTGCCTTTTCATGACTTTGAAATTAATAATATTGGTCTAAGAGAAGAGGCAAAACATGCGGGCCGCCATCTTGGATTATAATGTAAGCATGCTGATTCTGCATCATTTTTTGACTGTGCAGTCGAAGATCCATCTACTTAAAATTTCATGCCATGTAGCAGCTTTGTAGCTTAATGGTACAATAGGTGTTGAATTAATTAGCGTATATCACTTATGCTTATAAATTATGTTTTTAATTGTTCTCTTTCTTTAGGATATCCCCTTGCAATCTTCTTGAGAGATAATCTCCATGGCACTTCAGCTACCACAAAGCATCTCTTCATCTCTGCTGTAGGACTTGCGATCAGCTACTTCAATTATGGTAACTCAGCGGTAACATTTGTGAAACGAACCTTAGATTTTATATAGCAAAGCACACTGTACCTTACACTTTTTGATGTCATGTAAATATATGCACACAGTGGTGATGGACTGTTTTGTGGAACTTTAATTTTCATTGTTTTTAATTTGCCTTATTTTCATGCCTTTGCCACTGCAGGTGGTACCTGAGGCATTATATTCTTAGAACCATTGAACAAGTTTTAAGCATACTTGGATAGAGGATGTATGAGCAAGCAAGATGAATTGATTAGATTCTGGGTGTAATAGGTCAAATGTGAAAGATTGTAGGGTCATAAAAGTGGACAAAATCAAATCAAATATAAGATTTCTGTAATAATTTAACAAAAATTGAAACAATGTTGACCAAACTGGGCTCAAGTATGTGAAGCTTTTTAAAAGATTAAATGAAAATTGAAAAACCATTTAGTTTTGTGAGGTCAGATATTAAAGGTCATAGGATCACTGATCATTATAGGCAGAGGCATATTAGAGACACAGTCTTATTTATTTTATTTATTTTTTATTTTTTGAAATACATACCGGTACTATAGAGTGTATAGGTTACTAAAGACATATATGAGAAACATGGCCTAATTCATCTTATTTTTTTAATATATTTTTTTCAATTGAAAAAAAGTAAATGAAAAGCATTTAGTTTTGTGAGGTCAGATGTTAATGGTCACAGAATCACTGATCATTGAATGTACATATAGGCGGAGCCATAGATAAGGTACTTTGTCCCATTT